AGAAAGCGGAGCAGGAGTGTTAGGATGGACGCTTGCCCTTTGTCACGGACAGAGGGGACATCCCCGCTCGCTGCTCACCCTTCCTGATGCACGGCAGCCGCCTCCGGCCAGGAATACCGGGCACCCGCATCCGTGTGCCCCCCAGGGTGCTGCTGGTCTCCTGCAGCTGCTCTTCCGGAGGATCAGGGAGGATCCTACTTGCACTGAAGGACAGACGCGTGCTTTGCTGTTTGGGAAAACGTGTCCCGCCTCCTGCCGCGGCGGATGCTGTAAGCGCCAGGTTCCGTCAGGGTGGGTTGTCACAGTTTACGTGCCAGAGCAGCTCCGTCCCCTGAACGGGAACGTCTTGTGTCAGCGGTCTCTGCCGTGTGCGACGGGCTCCGCCGTGGGCCACGCCAACTACTTGGTGGACAGGAGGTTTCCACTTTATATAAAGTCTCACACTGAAAATAAAGGTCAGAGTTTAAGGAGCCTTTTCATTCTCTGAGAGACAACAACGAGCTCGTGCGACACGCCGAGGGCCTGGAGGTGTCCAGGTAGCTTTTTTTTCAAAGGCAGCCCCACCGCCCCGGGCCAGAGCCCCGGGCAGGGGAAGGAGCCGCCAGCACGTTCCCAAGTGCTCGGGGGTACCGCGTGCTCAGTCCCCTCACCCCACGAGAGCGGCAGGAACACCGGGGGGAGAAGCACCCACGCGTTAAGCGACGTACAGAATATCCATTACCTGACAGACACGCGGGCAGAGCCTGCACCCTCGCTTCCTCTCCTTTCCCAAGGGTTCTACCCTCGGGAAAGCAGCAAATGCAGAAGGAAAACACCACAAAAAAAAAAACGTTTACGTAGAAAAAATTTATTCCATCTGAAGCACTTACACGGATTAGTTGAGGGGCGCGGAGAGGGAGAGGCTGCTGGTGGAGGAGGACACCCCAGAAGGCGCAGGCACCCCGCGGTCAAGGGCCAACCCCTAAGGAAGCAGTTCATCCGCGTTTAATCCGCTCTACGGGTACCGGCTGCCCGTGGGGTGTCCGGCCGGCGGGCGGCACATCCCAGGGGGAAAACGTACGCCCTGGTGGTTCCCAAGTTTATAAAACAACCGAACCATTTCACGGAAAGGAAAGAAACATGTGAAAACACAGCTCAAGAAACACACAATAGAGCAGAACACGGGGAGGGCGAGCACAGCGCCG